GCGGCGGTGCACTGGCGGCGCCACCGAGCCGGAATTCCCTTCTTCCCTCTTTTTTTTTTTAATTATCGGGTGGAGAAGAAGAGGGAGGAGAGGAATAGAGAGGGAAAGACCGGCCGGGGGATTAGAGAATTGGGGAAGAGAGAGAGAGAGAGAGAGAGAGAGAGAGAGAGAGAGGGGAAAGTTAGAGAAAGGAAATTTTAGGATTTGATATTCGTATTTAATGTTTTTCCAAATTTCACACTTTAAATTTCCAAGCTTAATTCCCTACTAATAATAGCATATGCTACACAAATACCAAAATTAAGATTTTGCTTATACGGACTATTTAATTTTTTATCATTTGTGTCACTTCACCGCTTACAAATCACCTCCATCTCAGTTTTTTGTTATTCATTTTTTTTTTGTCTACAAATAATTATTCACTTTTTTATATTGACTAAAAATAGTGATAAATTATCTAAAATATCATAGACATAGTGTATAAACATTATTGACATTAATAATGACGGATAAACTCATTTGAGATACTTCTTTTGCCAACAAATATTAGGCCCCATTCGATATCAACGTTAGAAATTAGTGTTAGCGTCTTGAGAAGGTTATCTAACGGTATTTTTAGCGTTAACATTTTCAAAATTAATCTACACCAATTATATTTTATTCAAAATGCTAACGCTAATTGAAAATGATCTTCTCAAACAATGCCTTAGTCTCATAAGGTTTAAAATTTCATCTCTTTAAAGGGATTTTGTGTAAAGGGATTTATATTCACAAAAATCGGTTATGGGCACGTTTGCACATTGGCTTTATTGGATGGGGTTTGGCTCTAGTGACTAATTTGGTTGTTTTGACCAATCAAACATGCATATAGAATTTTGGGCAAATGGCTCTGATATTGGCTATTAGATTTTGAAAAGCCAAAATACGAAAAGTTAATAGGGATAGCCTTTCGAGTTGGCTATTAAGATTAAGAATATAAAATCAAACACATTATAGAATAATAATTTTTTGGAGAGTAGTCAACTCATTTTGGACGAAAAATACTTCATATTCAAATTGAACTTTAGTTTATTGAAAAAATGACAAGTCTCATCCTTAAGTGCTCATTAGAACGATTAGATAATTACAATAGCGGAGATAAAGTGAGTTATAATCACGCACTAACTAGAATTTTCTCTTGCTCAAATTCAAGCCTTGAGTTTGTATGAGCAACTCCAAACAAAGGATGTAAAATGAAAAAGTATTTTTCTTATTTATCTTTTTAAAAAGTTAAATATTCATTCTTTAATAGCACTCCATGATAAATTCCAAAAGAAGAACGCAAAAAAGACCAAAGAAAAAATAACTACCAATATATATTTTGTTTGAAGAAGTTGTAAAGATAGCTCTTGAAAATCAATACAAGAACACACTAATGACGTCTAGTGTAGAGATCGGGACCTTGTAAGACCTAAAACACTACCAAATCTCCTAAAACCAGTTGGTGTTACGAGAGGCGTTGTAACACCCAACCTCCACCATACCAGAAAGTGTCTGCAAACAACTTAAAATGAAATGAGAGAGTATCAAAAAATGTTTAGGCATAGTAGTGTACGTATTTTTTTCAAAGATCACACTAGAAACTAACCACAGCACCACGATTGCCTCTACAATTGACGATGACATGTGATTTAAACGCATCTAGGCGATAATCATCTATGTTCACAAATGATTATCTTCTGTGATTGTAATGCGTGAGATACCCCTGGATGCCTGATAGATTTGTAGCACTTTTTGTGTGTTTCAATCTAAAGTTTCTAATTCAATTTTACAAAAAGAATGGAACCACAACAACCTCAAAGGTGCCACAATATGCAACAATCTAACGTAGGATATAATTAACTTTTTTAAAAAAAAATCATTGTGTGGGGGTCAAGAATTAAACCCAAATTCATTTACTCCGTACTTCTTTGAGGCTCAGTTCTGAACCACTTAAATTAGACGGTAATGGAAACGCGGTGGATAAAAAAAAGAGGTGGCAGAAGAAGCGGTGGCCTCCTGTCACAACTCACAAGCAATTTAACCCACGGGTCGCATAAGCCGCTTTTTGTGCCCAATACAATAAAATACTAAATAAAAAATCACAGTCCACCACCGACACTGCTGCTGTTACCCATGAATGACTTCTATCATTTGTTTTTTGAATGCAAACACACCCCGCCCCACCCTAAATGTCATTTCACGTACTACACTTCTCCCGTCCACTTGGGCTTTTTCACAAAATGCAAATAGTGTGTCATTTATGGTCCCTACTTCCCATAGTATCCGAGGTTGCATTGCACAGTTAACAAAGGTAAAGAATGGTAAGAAAAATAAGACCCGCATTCGATTTTTGTTAGATGTGCTGCAAGTAGCAGATGAACTCTCTACTCTTTGTTACAGTTTACGATAAAAGTCTAATTAATTACCTCTCTCAGTGGTTGTCGAGACGGGTTTAAGAGACCTTCGGAGATGGAGCTCATCTTATTTTTTTTCCTTTCCTTTTACTGGAATCATAAATTTATTCGGGCCGCTTCATCAGCCACTAGTTTGGAGTCATTCTAGAGGATAGCGACTTAATTGAGACACCTACAATGCTCCGTACGTAACATTGATAGTCATTACGTACCCCCGATACTCTAACCCCCCTCCCCCCTATTCGTGACCACAACCCATCTCCCTACCCAGCCCTAACTCCAACCCATCTTTTACCCACGTCAATTGCATCTTATAGAATTGCATGTGCTCCCTTTGCTCTTCAAGTTCTGCACCATCGCCTCAACTAAAGGCGATGGTCTTTACTTTATTAGATTCTCTATTCCTAAACTTGATTTTCATTTGTCTTTCTCACAAAGTTTAAGACTAATAAAAATGTACTGATCAATAATACTCCATATTTAGTAGAGAAGGACACAAATAACGCTCAAAATTACGTATTTTTTCTTTAAAACAAAATGAGAAATTAATTATGGAACATTTAACAAAAATGAGAACCCAAATCAGGATTGAAAAGAGTATTAATACATAGAAATCATGATAAGAACATAGAGAAAAGAAGAAAACAACAAAAAGAACATATCATATTTTTCGCATGGTTTTTGCATTTCCCGAACATGTTGGTAAAATTTGTCAAGAACTTGTGTTTTTGTGGTCTGCAAAATTTGGAAACAACCTCGGTGACAAAGTTAAATTGCCCAAATCATAATGCATTTGTTTATAATAAAACATGTTTGGGTTCGCAAGATTGTCCCCATTTTCAAGCAGACAAGCTCATATATTAGGGGCGTTAATGTCTTCAGGTGTTTGTTCTATGGTAAACACAAGTTTTGAGTACCCTAAAAAGTCTTTCTTTTTTTAAAAAAAAATTCAAGAAATACAAATGGGACTTTTTCTTTTATGGTTTTTAAATATTACTCCCTCCGTCCTATAATGATCTTCCCGGTTCGCAAAACGAAGAAAAATCCCAAGTTTTTTCAATCTATTTTATTTAAATATTGGTATAGAAATAAAAAATAAAACATACATATTTAAATAATACACCAAAAGTTCAACAAAACAAGTGGTGACAAGAATATTTTATTTTATCATATAGGCCATGAAAAAACACAAATAAATATAAATTCTCGTAAAGTTGGAATAGTGCTCTGGGAAGATTATTATAGGACGGAGGAAGTAAAAGTTAAAATGGGGTTTTTGAAAGTATGAGTAAATGATAAAAGCAATTCATGATATTACAATTATATGGGTCTCAATAGAAGCCCATATTTAAGACCATGAAATACAGGCCCAAAAATCTAAGCCCAATATATCCATCAAAGAGGTTTTTACTTTTTCTTTTAAGGCAAGTTTTGATCTGCTATTAATATTCAAGTCATGCCCAAATTCCATGTGGATATAATTAAAAAGGAAAAAAAATAATTCCTCCGTTTCTTAAAAACATTCATATTTGATTTTGGGCCAAAATAAAGAAAATGTAATTTTAGTTGACTTTCCAATTTTATTCCTGATGTGATGAATAAGAGTAAGATGTGATTGTTTGGTTATTAGTGAAAAACGTATGATGTGATAGGTAGAGTATGAAAAAGTATGGGTAAAAGTGGTTTTCTAATAGAAAGTGGAAGTGTTTTAAAGAATTTGAAAAAAACGAAAGAGGAAGAGTTTCATGGAACGGAGAGAGTAAAAAAAATAAAAAAAAGGATATTGGAGAGCCAGAAGTCTTGAAGTACAAGATGGAGAATCTCTTTTTCTCATCTTCATTCTCTTTCTTCTTGATCTTGAAATACAAGATGGAGAAGCTCTTCATAGTGTTAGAAATCCCATGGAGTTATGGTGTTAGAGATACAATGTTGATGAAGGATGAGTATATTCAAATGATTAGTAATGAACAATAGAGACTTACACAATACATTCTCAATTGAAGATCAACTTGTAGGATAAACTTACACTAGAGTTATATGAACTATACCAAGAATGCACAAATCATTCACAACATGATCTTTAACAACAAGCACAATAAGCCCGCATGAGTAGCTCAATTGGTCAAATGAGAGGATGTCAAGTTCTATGAAATTAGAGTCGAATCCCGACATCGGCAGTGTGTGAATTCTATTATTTGTAATAGTTCCTTATGCGCACCATGCACGAGACGGCCTCTCTAAGGATCAGATTGAGATTATACTATGATCTACTCCCTCACAATCCTGTCGGGGGCCGGGGTGTGAGGCGCCCGGAGTGAGCGTTCCACCTTTTTAACAACAAGCACAGGCTATACTCAAGCTTGTTCTCTTAACTTATTCTTTGTACATACCCCGGAGTATTACTTATTCATATTCTTATCAAATACCAAGTAGGAAATAATTTTAAATATGACTACAACCATATCAGAACTTAATCAAATCATATCAGAACCGGGTTGAAGAGAAGCCCTAAAGCAAGCTCTAAGCTCAAAACAAAGGTCTAAAGGTTTAACAATGACTCCAATTCTAAACCTTCATAGGTTCCTATCTGATTCAATAAACATGAGCAGAAATGCAAAACTGTATACTAAGCACAAGATCAACCAATGATGATGAACAAACGAAAATCGAAACCACGAATTCGAATTAAAGAATCAACGAACAATATACACACACAGACATGATCATCAATGTCATTGCAGAAAATAACCGGACAAGAAGAGCACAAACCCTAAGAGCAGAGCGCCGTAGATGAGCAATAGCTTCTGGCCAGATGTGAGGGTATTAGCCCCGAACCCGAAATCCTGGTTCTGGGCGAACCCGGCAACCTCCACGCTCTTGCTCTCGAAGAAGCTCTGCGAAGCCCCGCAAGTGGGGCACCTCCAGTCGCCGGGCAGCTCGGCGAAGGGCAACCCGGGCGGGATCGGGTATGGGGGGTCGCCCTTGGCCTGGTTGTAGGTGTACCCGCAAGACCGGCACCGGTGGACTCCGGTGTTTAAGACGGCGAACTTTTCCTCCGGCCTCCTCCGCCCGTCCAATCCCTCCCCGGGCTGGGTTTCTTGGGGAGGATTGACGGGGGTTGGCTGTTCTTCCTTTGAGACGTCGATGGATCTGATCGGGGTACGGGTCGTAGTGGAGATTGGATTTCTGGGTTTTGTGAAGAGTGGGATTTGGGTTTTGATTGGGAGCCTTCTTGGGGGAGCAGAAGGAAGGGAGGACAGGTTTAGGAATGTGGTGGAGGATCTGGAAAGATAAGAAGCCATTGAAGTGTGATCTCGGTTGTGCTATTGGCTTTGGCTAGGAAATGAAATTGTACTAAACAATTTGAAAGTTTTCTTTCAAATTTAAAACAAGACTTTTTTATTTTAAATTTTACTCTCTCCGTCCGCAAATAAACTTACATTGCGCGTTACGATGTTTGACAAAAATTATTTTCAAATCATTTTATATAAAAAATAGTATAAAATTGAAAAATAAAATTTACATATTAAAAAACTATATCAAAAGATCTACAAAATTAGAGGTGATATGACTATATTATTTTATCAAATGGGTGATGAAAATAGGCCAACAAAGTGAATAAAGTTTGACCCTGTGAATAGTGAACGTAAAGTTTATTTGTGGATAGAGGGAGTAAAAGATTTAAAAAGAAGTATTTTGGTGTGGATTTTTTTAAAAATATACTTGTATGTGTTGATTAGATTAACATTAAAAAATGTGATATGATAGATACAATATAAATGATTATGGATAAAAATAACTTTTTAATAGAAATAGAAAATGTTTTTTTTTGGAACGGATGAAAAAGACAAGAAAAAGAAATTTCGTGAGATAGAAGAAGTAATTTACTACATATCTTAATTTGAGTAATGGAAAGATAAAGTCAAATTAAGACAATTAATTTAGGATTAGAAAGTCTCTAATGGTATACTTTGCTCGTCCTAAATAAATTATCGTAATTTGACTTACATTGAGTTAAAAAAAATGAAATTGTATAATTGAAAATAATGTAGATGAAAGAATAAAAAGTAAACCACATATAGTTTTTCAAAAAAAGAAACAAATTAAACGGCTTCATTTGGATAATCCCTCCGTCCTAGAATTAACTTCTCATTTGACTTTTCACGGTCTGTCATGTGACACTTTGACCATCAATATCTCAGTTTTTATATAAATATATTTTTAAAAAATTATATATTTCAAAACTACGTTTCAAAATGAATTTATCGCTAATAAATTTATATGAAAATTCAATATATTTTTTCCGTAATACACGGTCAAAGTTTTAAAAAGTTGATTACAAAAATCAATTTGGAAAATTAATTTTAGGACGGAAGTATTAATTTATAACAGATGAATATTATGATATTGGACACGTGCAACACTTTATTTGAGATTATCCATGGCGTTTTCTCAAGCTTAGGGTGTTAGATCTTACGGATTGGCCCAAACAAAACATGAGTGGTCCAGAATCAACAATACACAAGAGAAAATGCCCATAGCCAGCATCTTGACAACTTCAACTCTAGCCATGGTAGTGGTGATTATTATAAATGTGATTGAGAAATACGGAGAAAGAATTTCAGAAATTACAAGAGTTATAGACCACACAAGGCCATGTTTAGAAAATAGCAGTTGGCACTTGGCTGTTAGTGTTGGCTTGTTGAAATAGCCGGTTGAATTAGCTGTTTTGACTGGCCGATCGTATTAGTTGTTGAGAAAAAAACGTTTGGCAAATTTGGCAGTTCAAACATGGCTGTTTGTAAAGGAAATTATGTTTAAGGACATGCTAATAGATTATACCCACATATTTATTGGTTTGCTAATCTGTGTAACTCTGACTTCAACATTAGACAAAATTTGCAAATTCATCATCAAATACAATAAATTCATAAATTGATTTTAATATTTTTAAAAAGGACATCTAAAAAAATCAAATTAAACCAAAAATCGCACACCTAAGATTTACATCTAAAATGGAAGAATCTGGAAAATTTCAAGATTAAACGAGAAATGAAAAATATGCTTAAAAACATAGGGATAACACTTATTGAGATGCAATGGCAAAATGGGATATGGTGAAATCCAAATTACCAAATATAGATAAAAGGGCAAAAAAATTACACTTAGATGCCGGATTGAAACGCTGCTCCATATGGCGTTTCGTGCTTTAGCATTTTGAATTAAGATGCCAATGTCAAAAGCCTTATTCCAAACACATTAATAGTGGCTGTTTGACAATTCCAAGCAGTTCATGGTGGTCAAACTCCAGAAAATGATCGATCTGCCATTTACCAAACACAGCCAAAATGTAGAGAGATCATGCAAAACAGATTTTCGATGATAAAAATGGTAAAAGACCGATAAGACCATTTGTAGTCATGTAACTTCAAGAGGAACTTTATTACCACCTCATCAAGGTTCCCTATGATGTAAATGTTTGTATTACTTTTTTTAATTGCTCATTCAACAATTGTTATGGAGAATTATTACTATTGTTATAAGTGAAATTTGCATTAAATAGAACTAAAACATAAGTCATTTACTAATTTAGGAGTTAAATTTTTTTTTCCTAAATAGGACTTAACAATGACTAGTGAGAACAATAATGTACAAATGATGCTGGACATATAGTTGAATGACTAATAAATAATGAACAATGATACTACATTGGGAAATAAAAACATATTGTCATATATCGAGAAAGTCATTATGTTTCAGTCTTATTTAAGAAAATTACCCTTGTTATAATTTTGAATCAAATACAAATAAAATTGAACCAAATCAATACATTACACATTATGTTGATTATGCAACCCTACTAAAGAAACAACAAGAATAGATATCAAAATCTAGCTTTGTTAGAAATATAAATATTTGTTTGGAATTTCATCAAGGAGAGAACTTGCAATAATTTTTTTTGTAAAAGAGTCACAACTTTTATGTTATAAATACATTAGATTGATCATGGACTTTAGATCCACCGAAGATTTACACAATTTTGGTAATGTTATTTAAAAGAAAAAACGGAGTTGTAATTTAATTAGAAATACAATTCTATTTTTGATTGTAATGGGCATTCAATTCAAAAGGGTATAGCCGAATAAAAAAGAAGGCGGCAGAAGAGCAACCAAAATACGGGCCGCCGCAAATAAAAGGATTTATTTTTATTGCAGCGCCAATTTTACTGTACCGGCGGAACAAGAAATTGCGCGGTAAAACTTTTCTTTGGAGTAACATTTATGTCAAGCTTTTCCTCCACAATAAACAATTCACCCAACCGTCGACAAGTAACCCGAGGTGCCGATTCGCGGCGGCGCATCGGCGGAGGCCAGTCGAGTTTGGCCGTGCGCGATCAGCAGAGACTTGTAGATCTGGATAATCATCCTCTCGTCGTACTCCTTCACCGATCTGGCGGTGAAATCGGAGACGGTGTTGCCGGCGAAGCCGCCGATGGCGCGCGTGTTGGAGACCCGCAGCATCAGGCCGACGTAGGCGTCGCGGAGGCGGAGGAGCAGCTTTTTGGGGGAGAATCGGAGGTTGATCCGGAGCTTGAGTTTAGGCCTCAGCTTTATCCTCCACGGCGCTTCCTTCCGGCCGCCGCCCAATTCGACGCGGCACTTTCTCCCCCGGGCACCGGGTCGGGTTATCCTCTCGTAACCGCTCCTCTTCGTCTTCAGGTATTCCTTGATCCCGTTGTAAACACTAACAGATACCCCTTCCATTCCCCTAAATCGTCGATTGTTATTTTTCAAATTTAATTTTCTTCCTCTTTAATTTCTAGAGGAATAAATCTGAGGGTGGGGATTATTAAGAGGAGAAAGAGATGGGGAAAGTGTCGATAAAGACGAGTTATAATAAATGAATTTCAACTGTATTTGCTGGTGCGGTTTAATGCAATTTCCCCAAATTTCGTTTCTGGGCATTTAATAGTCAGAAAGGATCGGAGGTGAAAGATAGAGAATCTCAGTTCCGAAATCCAAACCAGAAACCATTACTCAGCCCACGTTACCGTGCTATGCTAAGCTTTGACGAAGATTGCTGGCTGGTAATAATAGCTGGCGCCATTACAATTAAGCCACTGTGAGATCGAGAAATATGATGTGATAGGTAGGGTATGAAAAAGTAAGGGTAAAAGTGACTTTTTAATAAAAATGAGAATGTTTTTTTGGGACGGATGAAAAAAGAAAGGAAAAAGGTTTTCCGGGACGGAGGGAGTAATTATTATTGTAATCTAGTTTTTATTTGGTGAACGAAATTATAAAGTCTTTTGAGGTTTCTTTACTATTCTTTCACACGTCACTTTTATTGAACCGCCATGTTAGCGTTACGGTTTCTTTTTTCCTTATATAAGGAGATGTAATCCGCTTTAGAGATAATCAACCAATAACAAATCACAAACCCTAATTCCTTTCTCCTCTCTCGGTTTGCCAAATTCCTTCCCGTCTCAATGCTTCTTCTGTATCTCGTCTCAATTTCTGGAGCTTGAAGTATGTTCAAAGTTCTTCCCTATCTAATACAAGCTTGTATCATATTGTGACTTGAGCGTAGTTACTTCCTTTATGAGACCATTTCTTTCTTAAAAAATTCTCTCCCTCCATATTGGACATGTGAATCCGTTGTTTCAAGCTAGCCGCACAGCATAATGGAGATGATTCGCGACAATAGTGTCATTTTACAAATTTAAAATATATTTATTTCACAGAATTTACTAAATTATTCTTCATAAATCATAATCAAACAATTCGACCATCAAAACTATTTCTCATCTATCGATTATGTTACCCACCAACACACACAATACAACTAATGCAACTATTGAAAGTGGAACAAGTTAAAATAGAATAAATAATAGAGCAGGCTAGTCTATCAAAGACCAACCCTTGTGTACGCAGGATGTGGTTGAGGACTTGTTCTTTTCAATTCCTCGGGTTCTTTGTTGGGTATGCAGGGGATATGATTGCTCATTAAATAATCCCAAATAAAATAAAATGAATATAAAAAAAACAGAGTGAAAGGATTGGACCATAAATAGAGTGTGTAAAGGTACACCAAGTCGTGCAAAAGTACATAAAAATGCGCAATAGGAGGCAGCAAGTGGACTGGACTGGTGGTTGTGACGAGCCGAGCCCTATGCGGTACGCCGACACACTATACTCTCCCTCCGTCCATATTTAAAGTTCCCGCTTTGACCCACATGGAGTTTAATAAAAGTTAAAATTTTCATTGATTTTCCCAAAATACCTCTCATTCCTTCTCTTCTTTTCTTGTCCACCCATTTGCTTCTATCCCTGCAATGGGATGCCCCCCACTCATCAAGTAGGAATGAGCATATTATCCGAACCGACCGTGCAACCGAGGTAAAAAAACCGAACCGCCCGAAATTTTCGATTTCGGTTTCAGTTTCGGTTAGTAGGTGTCTAAAGAGTCGGTCAATTCGGTTAATCGGTCGGTTTTCAGGTTTGGGCTTGAATCATTAAACCCGACCGAACTATTACCCAGTCCGAAACAACAAATCCCATATGGCAAATACCCAATCCAAATTAAATACCCAATCCTAGGCAACCCAAATGGAAAATACCCAATCCTAAGCAATCAAAAATTCGTTAGAAAACGAAAAAACCCTATCCTCCCTCGTCACTATCGTCATTCATCAGTTCGTCACTTCTTCTCCGTTTACTACTGCTCTGCCTCACCTCTCGCCAGTCACCATCATCGACAAATCGGCCATCGTTGCCATTGCCATGGGAAGTTCTTAGCCAAGACGACGTTAGTTCCGGTATGTACTTCCCTAATCCCACGCCCTTGCCTATTTTTTGTATATGTAGTTCGGTTTATAATAACCGACCGAAACTGTTCGGTTAAAACGGTTTTGGTTTTTTTCGGTTATCCAATTATATCGGTCGGTTTCAATCGGTTTTTAGATACTAAAAAACAATTCGGTTACTTCGGTTTTGACCCGAAACCGACCCGATGCTCACCCCTACCTCCTCTGCCATTATCACCGACGGCCGACCGCCATGCCTGCTCCTTCAATTAAAAAAAAGAAGACGAAGAAGGACGAAACTTGGGGCTCCTTCCCTCCGAGCCAACACGCCATCCAACATGCCATCATCAATCTACGCCTGAACTCTGCCACCACTGTCGATTTTTTTGTTGACGCTGACCTTCGATCTGAATTGAAATTCTCAGATCGGGAGGAGATGGACAAGAAAGAAGAAGATGTGAAGATGGATTGGGCGTTGGTCCATGGGAATTGGAGAAGAAGAAGAAGAAGAAGAGATCGGACCGCCCTTTTACCTCCGACCACCGCCTCGCTGCCCCACCTGTACTCCGATGGCTGCTTTCAATTTACAATAAAAAACCAGAAGAGCAAAGGAGAAGAAAGAAGTAAAACAAGAAGAAGAAGAGAGAAGAATAAGATGTGAGTATAAGAAAAGAGAGAAAAGAGAATGAAAGAAAAAGTGACGGCTGGGAAATGGATGGGGAAGGAAAAAGAAAAAAAAAAGGATAGAGAGTGGGTGTGGGAGGTAATTTAGACTTTTTAGTATAAAAAAGGAGTATGTATTACTGATCCATTTGGTTGGATTTTGCATTATGGCCACCACTCAACTGTTAACCTTCTCCCATAAATTTTGTTTCGTAAGTGTGGTACCACTCCTTCCATCTCAAAATGGATATTTCTCACACTAAATTTTAATTTTATTTAATATATTTTATTTTAAAAATTGTTATAGAAATACAAATTATAAAATTTACATATTTAAAAACTATATTTAAAAAATTTCAAAAATAAAAAATGACAGAAATATTTTATTCTATCAAATAATCGATAAAACATAAAAATAAACAAAATTTCTCGTAATTTTCATACAGTGAACTTGTGATTTTTAAACAACGAACTGTGATACTTATTTTGGAATGGATGAAGTATTAGAGAATAAGAACTTGAATATTATTTTTAGTCAATTTCTTCATACTATTATTAAAATTCATTATTCTACTATCATTAAGATTCCATTTGTAATTCACTATCTCGCTATGAAAATTCACATAAATCGGTTGGCGTTGCACAGTTGGTAAAGACAATGAGTTCCAAAGAAGTAAGACCTCAGTTCGATTCCTGACAACTGCGCTGGGAGACAGCTATACTAATTATAAGGTCTTTGCATGTGCCAGCTATAGCCTATAGGCTTCACTCTTTGCCACCGAACTATGTTCAAAATTGAATTTATTTTCTCTCAGTAACCGTCTGACTAGGTCTGAAGGAGCTCACGTGGATGGGACTCAATTGTTTTAAGTTTAAATTTCCAAAATAGTAATAAATAACTGTGTTTTCTGAAATTAGTTCCCAAAATAACTAATTCTTGAAATAGTACTCGGTAATTAAAAAGCAGTCGTTAAAACAGTGTTAAAACGACGTTAAGTATTATACTATTCTTTTAAAATGGTACTTTCTAACTTGATATCTTTTCAATTGGTCCATTTTCAAAATAAAAATACCTTAATTATAAAAAGTAGTTTAAATTTTTTTAAGATGATAATATAATACTAAAAACTATAAATATAGTTTTATAAATTTAAAAATAACGTTTAAGATTGTTCATAATTATTTAAAAGAATATCATGTAAATAAAATATTTAACAAATGTTAAAAAATGACCCTAAATAAGAGTAAAGCTTAGAAAGGAGTTTCCATTTTGGTATTGATTTTATGTTTTACTCCTATTTAAGATAATTTTTTAATGATTGTAATACATTTTATTTGCATGATATTCTTTTAAATAATTATAAATAATCTAAAATATTATTTACAAATTTATAAAATTATATTTATAGTTTTAAGTATTATATTATCATTCTATGAAATTTAAAATATTTTTTATAACTAATGTACTTTTATTACGAAAATGGACCAATTTAAGGAAATACTTGATTAGAAAGTACCATTTTAGAAAAATAATATAAAGTTTAACATCGTATTAATATTATTTTAGCAATCATTTATCAAAGGGACTAAATAAAACGTTATTTTTAATTGGTGAGTACTATCTTAAAAATTAGTTAATTTCAAGACTGATTTAAGAAAATATATACTCCGTATTATTGAAAGTGCCGTTTTTAGAATTTATTTTGTTTTATGAAAGTTCACACATCATTTAAAGTAAAAAAAGAGAGCTATTGGGAAGATATGAAAGGCGAATGAATTGGTGATAACGAGAATTGAAGAATTGAAGTTCACCTTGAGATGAATTCGTTTCATCTTTCACCAATATTCCCCTCTGAGCTCCCTAAGAACCTTGCCGTGAGGAGAGTCCGGGTCTCCCCTCCCCGCATTGTACTTCCATATCTCCATCGCTCTCAACAGCGATCCCTCCGCCGTATCCAGCTGCTCCGGCCGCCACGTCAACACCTCCCCCGATCTCCCTCCCCCGCCCGACGAATCTGTCGCTCGTGCCACAGGCTTCCTCGTGTCAGCCACCTTCACCTCCGACAGCGGCGACGCCTTGTGGTGCTTGAAGTACTCCCTGTCGTCTTCCTCCTGAGCACGCCGATCCGTGGTTTCCTCCGGCCACGGACCGCCGTCGAGCCCCGCGCAGCTCACCTCTGATAACGGCGGCGGCGCTGGTGTCGCGGAGTCGGAATCGCGGCGTTTCTGTTGCAGGTTTGGATCGACCGGATAGCCGGCGCCCCTGCTTCCTATCTTCGGCGATGATCGGAGAGGTGAACTGGACGACGAAAACGGCGATTCACCGGTTCCGACGGGGTGGATCTCCGGTTCCCCCTTTGCTGTTTCTGCCTTTTTCGCCTGTGCTGCGTCATCTCCCTGCAAACAAATCACACGTATAGTTACCTTCGCCCGCACCACGCATACCATGTGTTCGATAAAATGTCAAGCCGACCTATAATGTTAAAAACAAAGCACTTTCGATCAGAGATGATGCTAACTTACATCAACATCGCCGGCGTGAACATGGGGATCGGCCGTTCGTCCAACGGAGGAGGAAAATCGGAAGCCCGCCGGCGGACAAAGTCCGCTCCGAAGCATCAACAAGACACTCCGGTGGCGGTTATACAGCTTCGCGGCTGCTGTAAATCTAGCTGCCATGAACAAACGATCAAGTTGCTCTCCCTTCTGTATGATTAAAGTTTTTTAGGGGCGTAGAGTTAAAAGAAACTTGTATTGTTCTTGATTCAAGCTCTGATGATTTGCCAAATTCAGGAAAATATATGAGTCGATGATGTAGAGGAGAAGACGATGAGGATTGAGGATATGAACGTGCCACGAGTGGGTGTGATAAGCCCAAAAAGTTACAAAATCTGGAAACTTCTGGGAGTGTGATCGCAGGTACGTAGGTTCTCTCTATTTCTCTAGTGCCTTCTACAAACAACAAGCCCGCGAGCTTAATTTGCAAAGACAAAGAGTCCCAATAAGATGAGATCCGAATCTGGAACACAATGTAAATAAGTGTCAGGACTAGTCTTCACTCTTTACCACTAAAACGTGATTAAAATCTAATTTATTTCGTCTTAGTGACCAATCTGAAGATGCGTTTGAAGATGAGGCTCATCCTTTACGAAGAAGAAAAAAATATCCCATATTGGTATCTTCTGAATTTATTTAAAATAAACTCTTTTTTCTTTTAATAGTAGTAGTAGTGTACTCAAGCTCATATTAAGCAAAAAATTGGAATACTGAGACGGCAAAATACTCCCTATTTTTTTTTCATTTTGATCAAAATGATTTTATAACTCTTGCATTAATCACTAATCAAAATTTACACAATGTACAATTTAAGGTTGATTTTTTGATACTCCAAGGAAAAAAAATAAACATTACTCCCTACTATATGCTAAAATTTACACCATGTACAATTTAAGGTTGATTTTTTGATACTCCAAAGGAAAAGGTAAAACAAATGCTAAAACACAATATAGGGTAAAAAGCAAATGATAAAGTGTATTTTTACAAGTTGATTGTAGATAAGGAAAAGAATAAAAGTATATTAGGAAGTGTATTATAGAAAATACGGGTATAAAAAAGTAAAAGTGTAAAATGAAACTTACTTTTACACTAGGCCAAAAGTTAATATCTTAAATTGTACACTAGCCCCCCCCCCCAAAGGTTCTTCTTCGTCATATTTTGGTTCTGCAGTTGAGTCGATGCTGAGTCGTCGGAGTCTGATGCTCGCCGGAAACGAAACTCCGCCACTGCTTGCTGGATTTGGACGATGCTTCTAGGGACGTGTGACGCCGCTGGAGCTCGTTCGCCTCGCCGGGAACTTGTCATCGTTGCTAGAGTACTCATCGCTAATCTGTGCTGATCGCTGTCGTCGTTTTCCTCGCCGAAGTGGTGGACCCCGCTAAACCACGAAGTAAGAAAGGCCTGGGTCGGATCCTCAGATTTTTTTTTATTGAGCCGTCCAGCCAAATAAGCACTCTTCAAATTAGATTATTAAGATAGAACTTTTCAAATTTAAAGATTGACCCCAACTCTGTAAATATGCTTGCAAATCCTTATTCTTGCATTGGATTCTAAAATTAGGCAATTAGCACAAACCAGTCCAATGTCACGATTATGATGAATAATACACAATTAAGCTCTAATTAATGTTAAAATCTAAGTTAATAAGTCTAAAAGATTTATAGGTGTTTGTCAATTTTGATTTTCTTTACTAATTTTAATGATATTGTAATTTTGTAAAATTTTATTAATTTAAAAACTAATTATATCATTTACTCCGTATTTAATAAATACGTAGTACTTGATAATGAAAGAATTTTCTTCTATAATTATTATATTAAAGTAAGAAAGCTTAAGAATTTTAAAATTATATTAAGGCATTTAAGTGTTATCAATAATGATTGAACGGGTGAACCAAAATGTTCATTTTTATTACCTCCTCTTAAATTGGCTTATGCACGTACATTTGTAGAAACTTTCTAAACTTTTTAAACAAAATAGTTATATTTCTTTCATTTTTAAAAATGAGATATATTCATGTTAGGTACTAATTTTAAAAAATTTCAAAATAGTTTTAGAAGTAATAGAAAACTAAAAATAAAAGTGAAAGAATATTATATTAACAATGATATTAAAAACTAGGTGGAGAAAAAAATATAATTTTAAACACTTTTATTAGTTGACATATCTATATTAATATATTAAAAATATCTTCAGTATAATTGTAGTCTACTAGGTTGTTGACTCGGTTCAACCTGATCTGACTACTTAACTCTTGATCCAATTGCTTGCCCGGGTCAACGTTACATTTGGAGAACATTGGTGCCGATAGAAAAAAATGAGAAAAGAAATCCAGAATCATCTCCACCGCCGGAGAAAGAAATATAGTTGTTACTAGAGACTGTGCGGCAAAGAGCTGCCGCGGCCATAACCCTCGCGAATTATAAATTCTTCAAATAACTTATACCTCAGCAAAGAGCTTTCGTTGACCTATTTTCATGCCCTATTTGTTTAAATAATATAACAATGCGACCTTTAATTTTATAGATATTTTTGATATATTGTAGACTTTAAATATGTATTACTTCCGTCTCTGAATATTTGTCTAGTTTTGACTTTTTGTCAACCATTTTTTATATTTGCCTTATAATTAAATAAAATATATATAGTATATTTGACCTATAATTAAATAAAATATATATAATATATTAATTAAATAAATTAATATTTTGAAAATTTTTGATATATTAAATTGAATAAAACTATTTTTGTATCAATATGTAATGTCATTTTTATTTAATATAAGGTTAAAATTACCGAAATTGACCATAAGAAGTCAAAACACGATAAATGTACATGTACGAAAAGAGTAATTTTTATTTTTTAATTTTATACAATTCTTTTTATTTAAAAAGATTTAAAAATACTTTCAATTAAACATCGTAATACGCAACGAAACTTTATTTCTAAACGTATGGAGTATATATAATTTTTTACGCAACTTTTATGACTATCTCTTTATATCATTTTAAAATCCGTAAAAGAATATTTAACTAGCAAGCATTTTATAAGTTCAATTTTTTTTAAAAGGAATATATTAAGAAACACCTATACATAAAAATACTATTTACATCCGGCAAAATCCCTTCCCTCCAGATTTTTGGGATTCTAAAATTTGTCGAGGCGAATTTTGAAATTCAAATTTCCCCCGAAATTCAATTGTATACCGGGAAAAGCAATAAAAGATCACTGTCCCCAAAGACAGACATTGAAATTGATGAACCCGTCGAGATACAAGACGACAATTTAAAGCAAATGTTTACATCAGCGGTCCAATCCCAGCAATAAAATCCAAAATTAAATTTCAAAATTTAGAAATTCTTTTCCTAAAAAAAAAAAAAATTACTCCGTCGGTTAATACCATACAGTACAATTCCATATTTCCATAGCCTTTTCATTTATTGTTTGTAACAATCAGAATTAGCTAGAGGTTAACAATGGATTAGCAAATCCTACACCTAGAGGGATTTTACGGCGGTAAAAACCGCCCAATGCGGCGATCGGGGCTTTAGGGTTTCAACCTGTTTCACCGCAACGGTAAAATTTGTTTCTGGGCCGGGCCGGGTCGGGTCTAAGCGTAAACGGAGCTGTAAGACAGGGCCAGCAAAAGTATCGCCGCCTGTTCCTCCTCCCTCAACTGACTCAACAGCTTTTCCGATCGCCGGATCGCCGACTCTCCTTTCAGCGCCATCCACATCGTCCTCAGCGACTCCGTGCTCCCGCCGGCGCTTCCTCTGGTTGCAACGCCTCCTTCGCCGCCGCCTCGCATCCGCTTCTTCCTTCTCTCCTCCCTCCCCCGGTCCAGACCGAGCATCTGCCTCCTCTTCTTGTTGTACTTGATCCCGCACGCGTTACAGAGCGACTGCAACCACATTTCACCTCATCACAACGAAGATCCAACAACTAAAGAGTAAAAAAGCCACATAAATCCGATTTACCTTAGGGCCCCGCGGGCCGCCTCTCCAGAGCGGCGTTCTGGTGGTTTTACAATCGCTGCAGCTCTTGACATGGCTACTCGCATTGCTCTCCTCCGACTCCGATCTCTGCAAAAACGAAAAGAAACACAGATAAGAAAGCGATTAAAGCATGATCGCACCAGTAATCGCGCTAAACTGTAAATCGGAGCTGGAGAATTCGATCAAGTGATGAAAGGAATCACTGACCGTTTGTTCAGTCAGATCCATGATCGGTAGCGCCTGAGAAACTACTACTAAAAAGGTATGGAAACTAGAGGGAGAAACCAGATCGCATTTAAATGGCGAAATAAAGCAAAACCCCGAAAATGGAAGCGGGAAGAAGAAGAAGATAAGGGGGGAAAATGAAAGATTCGTTAAAAAAATTGTGTGTACATAAACAAATAGAGCCAGACAATGAAGGGAGAGAGAGAATCTGACGGATGGTGATAACGAGAACAGGAAATAAATGGAGATCGGACGGCTGTAAATTGTTTGGGCCGTTTGTTAATTTCGTGGGCTGTACGCATCGGACGGTCCGGGGCTATTTATACGAATTAGAAGAAAATAGTCATTTATATTGTGATGCATTGGCATTTTATTTGGTGGGCATTGGTCTGCACTCTGTAGGACACCAAACCCTAGGCCTTATCCCTTGGTTTTCAATTAAAAAAATCATTTTTCCTAAATTAGTCCCAAAAATGAATTAATTACTGAGTTGGAACTCGCTAATTGAAAATAATGTATTCACCGTTTATAAAAAATTCTTTTAATATGAAAAACAGAAACATGATTCTTGCCTTTTAATTGACTCACAGTGTTTGAGCGAAGCCAAGATGCCATTTTTATGAGGTTTTGTTTTGAAAACTGACTAATTTGAAAAAAAATGGATTAGAAATGATCATTTTGGAAAATATGCATAAGTTTTAATGTCATTTTGACTTCATTTTGATGGTGGTTAGTCGAGAGACTAAAATGGGCATTATTTTCAATAAACATGTACTATTTCGCTAATTAATTCAATTTATAGACTAATTTGAGAAAATACATGGTTATAAAATACCATTTTGAAAATTTACTCTTTTTAATATAAAAAATATGTGATCTAAAATTAAATTTAACGTACAATTTAATAGACTAATTTGGGGCACATTAAATCAAAAAAACATATAGGGTAAGGGCTTGTTCTCTACTACTTATGTGATTAATTTTGATCGCTTGATTAAATTATTTCTTATTTATCTTAAATTTTAACGGGTCTTTCATCCTTGGTTTCAGGTCTCGAAATTATGTTTAAAACCCATTAATTTCAGGTTGGATTCAAGTCAAAAACAAGTCGATCAAATTCTGCTTGCTCTAAAAAAATTAATCGAAACTCTTCCATTTTGACACTAAGAAATTGACATCAGATGCTTCACAAACATACGTATGTGATGACTATCTGCATGTCTGTGAAATGCTATGTCAAATTTTGATGTCAAACTTGACATGATTGGTCATAACGCTTAAAATAATGATTGTTAGTGACATGCGAGGTAGCCACCGCAACGGGTAGCTAGCAAAGGGAGGGAGGGGGGGGATTTTGGTGGCAGGGACAATGGGTGGCCGATTGTTGCTGGTATGTAGGTCGATCGGGCCTGGCCCAACAGCTGGCTGTTTAAATTTAGCACACCCAACTGCCAATAATGCACCATGACGTATGGCCCATTATCCGGTACAAATATTGATATTTTAGTTTAAATAAAACAATCTGTATGAGAGAATATTCATCTAATCCTCAAAAACAACTGCATATGAAGCACTTCATAACTAGTTTTAGCTTTTTGAAATATTCACTTGATGATTACTCAGAAGTTCGATGACTGGCGAGAAATTTTATATCAGTTTTCTAACACGAGAAAAGAGCGCATCAAAATCTGAAAAACATAAATATAACGGCAGTAAGATGTAATATAAGCAACAGCAAGGAAACGTAAGATGTCATGAACGCAATCAAATATTTGTGGAAGTAAATTTGCAGAATATATTTGATTACATTTGCATTAAACGTTCTCGTGACCTGACAAATTACATCTTAAATCGCTCATGAGTAGTACAACTTTTAAGCATAAAATTGCCTTGGACGCAGTCCGTTCAAATATTTTAATGTTTCTTACATGTGGCGCTTCTCGTATAGGATTTCAATATATCTGGGGGAAGGGGAGGGGGAGGGGGGAACTTCACATTACAATGCAGATAAATTACACAATGGAAACCGGCGTGGAGAGGGGAGGGAAGGAATGGAAAATACCCAAAAAAAATTTACTGTCCAAATAATTAATCTTTTTTGGGACAAAAAAAACAACAAAGACTGTCCAAACAAATCATCTTTTATAATAGC